AAGGGCATTTATGACAAGGGCTTACACTGTTCAGTTGTCAGAAACATCAGACCTGATGAGTCAGGATGACATTCAGAAATGGGTTTCCATTTGGGTACTTAGTGACTTATTAATTAGCATAGTGAATGGTACAAATGAATATTTTTTTGGCTTTTTGAGAAAACAAATTTATCAAGGCCTGGAACTCACTGTGTAGATCAGGCTGGCCTTGAACTCACAGAGATCTGCCTGCCTCTGCTTCTGCCTCCAAAGTGCTGGGATTAAAGATATGCCCCACCACACATGGCAGTAAATTCTTTAAAAAAATTTTTTATGTGTGTATGTTCACTTGTATGTGACCACATGTGTGCAGGTGCCTGTAAAGTCTGGACGGGGGCTTCAGATCTCCTGGAACTGGAGTTACAGGCAGTTGTGAGCCACCCAATGTGGGTTCTGGGAACCAAACCCAGGTCTTCTACAAAAGCACCAGTGCCTTTAACTTCTGAGTCATCTCTCCAGCACCCCTCTCCCCAAAATGAGTTCTTATTGGTGAACTGGTATGTAACACTGGCTAAAATATTTTAGGTGCTTTCTGCCCTTTGAACAAATTACAGGAATCTAGCAAACCCTGGGGACTGGTATAGGAGGCATACACTCCAAATGTTCCTGCCTGCATGGGACAGTCCCCAGGGATTCTGGTGGCCAGCTCCAGGCTGTCAGCACATGGTTGACCAGGGACATAGTCAAGCTTACCTCAAATGAAGCTATATGAAAAGTCTTCTCAGAGCACCAAGGCCACAGGATGGAACATCATCAACTCACAGAACAGGTTATGTGGCTGGGCTTGTGCCTGCCTGTGTCACCCAAGGCTGTTGATCACAGCTCACCTCTGTCTGTATGGGCTTCATTTTCAAGCCAAGGTTAGCCTCCAACTCAGTATGTAGCCCAGGATAATTTTGAACCCCTGATTCTCCTGCCTCTACCTCCCAAGTGCTAGGATTATAGTGTGCATGCCTAGTTTATTCAGTGCTAGGATGAAACCTAAGGCCTCATATCAGCTAGGCAAGCACTCTATCAACTGAGCCTCGTCTCCAGCCCCCAAGCATCCTCTCAAAACCACGACTTCAGCCAATTTAGCCATATCCAAGCATCAGTTCTACATGGTGGATATCAGCACAGGAGTAGGAGGCAGGCCACACAGCCTCAGTACTGGGTGATTTGTCCCAGTGAAAGTGCTCAGTACAACGTGAATGGTAAGTACTGAGTAAGCATTACTCTGGAAACTGGTAGATGACCCTGTCATCGAAGCACTCAGGAGGCTGAAGCAGGACGGTCAAGGCCAGACTCAGGCATATGGTTATAGGACAGCACAGGTTACACAGTGAGATCTTTTCTCAAAAACAGCAAAACAAGGAGAGGTGGCTCAGGGGTTAAGAGCACTTGCTGTCCTTCCAGAGGAGCCAATTCCCACACCCACATGGGGCTCCTTCAGGGGAATATACACACATACTAGTTTACATACAGATAATCAAAACACTTGTACAATTAAAAATAGATAAATCATTTTTTTAAAACACAGCAAAACATAAGAAAATTTAAAAAGTGAGAAAGGGCTTGCAAAATGGCTCAGTGAGTAAGGGGTCTGTTGCCTAGCCTCACGACCTGAGTTCAATCCCCAGGACCCACATGGTGGAAAGAGAGAACTGCCTCGAGAGAACTGACTCCTACAAGTTGTCCTCGTATGTGCCCACACACATAGACACATAACTAACTAACTAACTAACTAACTAACTAACTAACTAACTAAATAAATAAATAAATAAATAATTAAATAAAATTTTTACCATTAAAAAATTAGGGGCCTGGGGATGTAGCTCAGTTTGTAGAGTGCTTGCCCAGCATGTATGAAATTCTGGATTTGATCTCCAACACTCAATAAAATCAGGAGTGGGACTGCACATCAAAAAAACAAAGTGGGGAAGGCCAGGAGATGGCTGAGACCTAAGTTCAATCCCAGGGACCCACATGGTAAAAAGAGAGAACCAACTCTTGCAAATCGTCCTCTGACCTCTGAACATACACTGTGGCATGTATGTGCCCCCCCCACATAAGTAATAAATAAATAATAAATAAATAAATTTTTTAAAATGTACTTTAGGCCTGAAAAGATGGTTCGGCAGTTGAGAGGACTAGCTGAGTTCTGGGTTTAGTTTCCAGCACCCACATGGCAGCTAACAACTGTCTGTAACTACAGTTTCAAGGGATCCAACACCCTCTTCTGGCCTCTGCAGGCACTTAAACACATACACTCAAAGACATAAAATAAAAATAAATGTAATTGTATGTCTTTTTTAAAAAATGTATTCATTATTTTTATTTTATGTGTATGAGTGTAGTGCCTGCATGTATGTGAGTGCACCCGTGTCGTGCAGTGCTGAGGAGGTCAGAAGAAGGTGTCAGAGTCCCCTGGAACTGAAGTTAAGGACGGTTTGTAGCCACCATGTGGGTGCTGGGAATCAACCTGGGTCCTCTGGAAGAGAGTCAGTGCTCTTAACCGCTGAGCCATCTCTCCAGCCCTATATGTCTTTTTTTTTTTTTTTTTTTTTTTTTAAAGACAGGGTCTCCCTGAAGCCCTAGCTGGCCTGGAACCCGATGTGGAGATCAGGCTGGCCTGGATCTCACAGAAACTCACCTGCTTCTGCCTCCTGAGTACTGGGATTAAAGACATTCACCACCACACCTGGCAAAACTGTAATTTTAAAAATACAGCTTGTGGGGTTAGAGAGATGGCTCAGAACAGTGGCTGCTCTTGCAAAGGACTCAGGATTGAGTCCCAGCACCCACATGGCTGCTAACAACCATCCATAACTCCAGTTCCAGGGGAACTGGCACCCTCCTCTGACCTCTGTGGTCATTGCATGACACAGGTGCACTGACGTACATGCAGCCAATACACTCATACCCGTAAAATAAAAATAATTTTTTAAAAAAGATCTTGCATTTACTTCAATAGTATTCAGGATGCAGTTGTGGTATGCACACCTGTGATCCCATCATTTAGGGGCAGAGGCAGGCAGATCAGAAGTTCAAGCCTACCAGCCTTGGCTATATAGTGAGTTTGAGGCCAGCCTGGGTTACAAGAGATCCTGCCTCACAAAACAGAATGAAACAAAACAAACAAAAAACTGATTTGCAGGGTATGGTGGCACATACCTTTAATCCTCAGCACTCAGCAGGCTGAGGCCAGAGGTTGCAAGTTTGAGGCCGGCCTTGGTGAAATAAGGACCCTGTCTCAAAAAAAAAGAAAGAAAGAAAGAAAGAAAGAAAGAAAGAAAGAAAGAAAGAAAGAAAGAAAGAAAGAAAGAAAGAAAGAAAGAAAGAAAGAAAGAAAGAAAGAAAGAAAGAAAGAGAAAGAAAGAAAGAAAGAAGGAATTTAAAAAAGCACTTTTAAAGAACAGAGGTACCTCCCGCTCGCACTCCCCTGCCCCCAGTCTCTTTTGCAGCTGCTGTTCGGTTCCAGTTCCATTTGCATGTATTCTACCCTTATGTGAACATGGTACAATTTGCCAATTGTCCTCACAATAGACATTTATTTTCTATGTGTGTGATGGGACTCAGGTCATCAGGCTTGGCCATCTCACTACCCTCTCCTGTTTTCTAAAAAAATTGTACAAATGTTCTTACACATGTCTCTTTGAGCACGTCTGCCTCTGTTCTTCCATCCTTTCCACCTCTGCCTCCCAACTGCTGAGATTACAGGTGTGTGCAAACATACCTGGCTTTCGGATTATTTTTACCCTTTTTTTAAAGATGAGCATGGTGTCACATGTCTTTTATCCCAGCACTCAGGAGGCAGAGTCAGGCAGCTTTCTGTGAGTTCAAGGCCAGCATAGTCTACATAGTAAGTTCCAGGCCAGCCAAGGGTACATAGTAAGACCCTGTCTTAAAAAAAACAAACAAACATATATATATATATATACACACATATAAATTTCTACCAGTGTGGAAATGCATGCCTTTAATACCAGCACTTGGGAGGCAGAGGCAGGCAGATCTTTGTAAGTTTGAGGTCAGCCTGGTTTACACAGTGAGTTCTAAGCCAGCTGGGGCTACAGGGAGAACCTGGGCATGGTGGCACACATCATTAATCCCAGCACTTGGGAGGCAGAGGCAGGTGGATCTTAGTGAGTTCAATGCCAGCCTGGTCTACATAGTGAGTTCCAGGCTATCTGGGGCTACAGGGAGACCCTATCTTAAAAAGACCAAAAAAAATCATTAAGGCTGGAGAGATGGCTCTGCAGTTAAGAGCACTGGCTGCTCTTGCAGAGGACCTCAGTTCACTTCCTAACACCCGCATGGTAGTTAACAACTGTCCTTAACTCCAGTTCCAGGGGATCCCATGCCTTCTTCTGGCCTCCATGGGTACTAGGCACACACATGTTGTACTTACATGCCTGCAGGCAAAACACTCATACATATAAAATAAAAATTAATTAAAAATAATTATTTATTATTTCTCTCTCTTTCTGTGTGTGTGTGTGTGTGTGTGTGTGTGTGTGTGTTTTGAGACAGGGTTTCCCTGTGGCCTCAGCTGGCCTGGAACTCACTATGTAGACCAGGCTTGCTTTGATCTCATAGAGATCCACCTGCCTCTGCCTCCAGAGTACTGGGGCTAATGGCCCGTGCCAGGAGGCCTGGCACTATCTATTTTTGATACTGGGGCTAGCTATATAGTCTAGTCTGGCCTTTAACTCATGGAAAGCCTTCTGCTTCCTAAATGCTGGGATTACAAGTGTAAACCACCACACCTAGCATTCATTTTCATGATAGTGTTTAGATTTACTTAAGTTTTTATATGTATGTGTGTCTGTGTGTGTGTCATATTAGTGCAGGGCTGTGGCGGCCAGAAGAGGGTGTTGACCCCCTGGAGCTGGAGTTACAGGTGATCACGAGCCACCATATGTGGGTGCTGGACACCAAACTTAGGTCCTCCGCAAGAGCAGCCATTGCTCTTAACCACTGAGTCATTTCTCCAGTCCCCATGACAGTGTTTAACATAATTTTGCCTTTTCAGTGGCTCCAGCTGGTGAGGTTGAAACACATCATCATCGAAGAAGGTGGGAGAGAGGAAAAGGATCGATCTTGCTCCAGATGGCGTCTCTGGGATGTATGACAGCCTTGGGGCCTGGGTTCTAGGCATGCTGGCTGACATCCCTGCAGAAGTAATCCTAGTGAAATGAGAGGCCAGTGAGGAAAATATAAAATCAAATGTAGCTAGAGCTGGGCATGGTGGCACATGCCTTTAGTCCCAGCACTCAGGAGGCAAAGCAGGCAGATTCTGTGAGTTCGAGGTCAGCCTGGTCTACATAGTGGGGCTACAGGGAGACCATGTCTCAAAAAACCAAAAAATAAAATAAAATCAACTGTAGACTGGGAGGAAGAGAAGAACACTGTTCATTAGTTCTTTAACTTTAAGTCCAGTCTGGTGTAGTAATACACGCATGTAATCTCAGAACTGGTGAGACTGAGGCAAGAGGAGTGCTGTGAGTTTGAGGCCAGCATGGGCTACAGAGAGAGATCCTGTCTCAAAAGAACGAAAATAAAAACAAAAATGGGCTGGAGAGAATGCTCAGTGGTTAAGAGCACTGGCTGCTCTTGCAGAAAACTTGGATTCGATTCCCAGCACCCACATGGTGGCTAACAACCATTCATAACTCCAGTTCTAGGGGGATCTGATGCCCCCTTCTGGCCTCTGTGGATATTGCACACATGTGGTACACTTACATATATGCAGGCAAAACACTCATACATATAAAATAATAAAAACAAATAAATCCAAAAAGTGTTTTAAAACAAAACAAACAACAACAACAAAAAAAGCTGGTATGTGGCTCTCACTTTTAATCCCAGCACTCAGGAGGCAGAAACAGGCAGATCTCTGTAAGATCCAGGCCAGCTTGGTCAACATAGTGAATTCCAGGTCAGCAGGGACTAGAGGGAGACGTTGTCTCAAAAAACAAACAAAGGCTGGGCGTGGTGGTGCATGCCTTCAATCCCAGCACTCGGGAGGCAGAGGCAGGCAGATCTCTGTTTGTTCAAGGCCAGCCTGGGTCTACATAGTGAGTTTTATGACAGCTGGGGCTACAGGGAGACCCTGTCTCAAAAAGACCAAAAGAAAAAAAAAAAAACCCAAACCCAAACAAAACAAAACAAAACAAACAAAAATAGCAGGGCACGATGGCTCCTGCCTGTAATCCTAGCAGTCTGATGATGGAGGCAGGAGGGTCACTATGAGTTTGAGGTCAGCTGGTATTAGAGTGAGACCCTGCCTTGAGGGAAGGAAGGAAGGAAGGAAGGAAGGAAGGAAGGAAGGAAGGAAGGAAGGGAGGGAGGAAGGAAGGAAGGAAGGAAGGAAGGAAGGAAGGAAGGAAGGAAGGAAGGAAGGAAGGAAGGAAGCCAACAAAATGTATACAAACGTCTGGCATGGTTGCACACACCTTCAATCCCCGCACTTGGGAGGCAGAAGCAGGTGGATCTCCATGACTTCGAGGCCACACTAATCAACATATCAAGTTCCAGGCCAGCCAGGGCTACATAACGAGAACTTGCCTCAAAAACCAAACCAAACCAAACCAAACCAAACCAAACGAAAAGAAGTCAGGTTTCAGCAGGCCTGGGGCCAGGGCTTCACACCTAGGGGAACCTTGTCCTCCTGTTGTTTGCCTGTGCTTCCCTGCCGTTCCCATTCTCTGGCTGAGACAGCCTCAGAGTTCTAGGTTTGTGTTCATCAGCAGGACCCTAAGAGAGGCTGTCCAGGGAGTGCAGGCGTGTGGCCCGGGTGTGGTCGGGGCATGTGGTCAGGGGTTGTGACACTCTAATTGGCAGGTCAGATGCTGGTCACTGGTCTGTGGAGAGGGGCCAGTCTTACCAGAGCCCTGGAGCTGAAGACTAAGGGATGATAGATCCCTAAATGGGCTAAGGGTGCCCACAAAGAGATAGAAGATGCTGGGCTCTTAAAGATGACAGACTTCTGGGTTAAGGATGTAGCGCAGTGGTAGTATACTTGACTAGCATGCAGGACACACTGTGTTCATCCCCAGTACCACAGAAACAGAAAGAAGAAAGGAGGGGAGGAAGGGAGGGAGGGAGGGAGGGCAGGCAAGCCGCGGGCACCCACAGCTATTTGAAGAAACTACACACAGAGAGTTCTTTGTCTCACTGTGTAGCCCAGACTGGCCTTGAACTCAGGACTCTCCAGCTTCCACCTCTCAAGTGCTGGAATCAAAAGTGCAAACTTTCACACCCAGCTTTCCCGTTCTAAGTGGCAGAGCTTGGATTTGAACCCATGCCCTCCGGCTGCCAGTGCTGGCAACATGTCACGTGGGGGATGTGTGGCCTGGCAATTCCACAGGAAGGAAAATTTGTGGCATATTAATTATTTTTTTTATTTGTTATGGGATCTCATGTAGCCCAGGCTGGCCTGGAGCTTGCTATATAGTTGAGGCTGCCCTTGAACTCCTGATCTTCTTGCCTCCCTAGACTCCTGTTGTTAGCAGGAAGGATGGTGAAATCTTGAGTGATATCTTAGTGTCCCAGAGATGACAAGGCTCTTCTAGGGCCAGAGTCAGAGGAAGGGGAGTTTCAGTTTTGCCAAATCTATTTGGTTCCAAAATCCTTTTTTTTAAAAAAATGTATTTTTTATTACTTTTATTTTATGTGTATGCGTGTATTGCCTGCATATAGGTAAGTACACCCGTGTCATGCAGTGCCCTCAGAGGACAGAAGAGGCTGTTGGATCCCCCTGGGACTGGAGTTACAGACAGATGTTAGCTGCCATGTGGTGCTGGGAATCGAACCCAGTTCTTCTGCAAGAACAGTCCATGTTCTTAACCTCTGAGCCATCTCTCCAGCCCCCAAGATCCTTTTAAATCTTGCTTCCCAGATGCTAATCTGTTTGGGAAGGGGACCCGGCATCTTCTGAACAGTTAAACTCCAGTTCCTAGCATAAGACAGAGCCTACTTTTCTGCCTGGATGACTGGCTGTGGTCTCCCTCCGAGAGTGAATTTAAGTGAAGCCAGGGTCCCATGTTGATTTGCTGAAGAGCCACATGTGGGCTACATATCAGAAAGATGGTGCAGACAGACAGGGACAGAGGAGGGAAGACGTAGAAACCAGAGTGGTGGTGCACACCTTTAACCTCAGCACCTGGAGGAGGCAGAGGCAGGTGGATCTCCATGAGTTTGTGGCCAGCCAGGTCTACATAGAGAGTTCCAGGCCAGCTGGGGCTACATAATGAAACCTTGTCTAAAAGGAACAAAAACAAACAAACAAACAAACAAGAACCATAGGGGACTGAGATATGGCGGTCTGTCACAAAACAAAACACGCAAGCAAACGAAGAACACTCACAAGTTTTCTTCTGGCGGAATAGCTCAGTTGGTAGAGTGCTTTCCTGCCATGTACAAGGCCCTGGGGTGGATCCCCAGGATGACATAAACCAGGTGTGGTAGTATACACCTATAATTCCAGTACTAAGAGATGGAGGCAGGGGGATCCAAAATTTAAGGTCTTCCTTGCCTACAAAGTGAATTCAACACTAGCCTGGGCGACATAGTGAGGACCTCTCCCTGCGCCCCCATTTCACCAAAAAAATAAAAGGAAAAAACCATGAAAGACACAAAGAAAGAAAGAAAAGAAAGACACGAAGAGAAAAAGGGATGGGATGGCCTAGGCACTCAGATCATTGACACTAGCTTCTTCAGGAAGGTGACAGAAAGTTCATGGCCAGCCTTGGCAACTTAATGAGACCTTATCTCAAAGTAGAAGGTAAAGGAGGGGTGGAGATGTAGCTCAGTGGTAGAGGGCTTGCCTAGCATGTGGGAAGGTTCAATCCCCAGCATCCCCCCCACCAAAAAAAAAGAGATAAGGAGACAGGCTGAGTTGGGATGACAGGCAGGCAGAAACACACCCCCACATTGACCTCCTTCCTGGCACTCCCTCGTTAGCTGCTGGTCCTCCTAGCTCTGCCTACCTTCCATCCTCCTGCTGGTCAAGCCCATTAAGCTGCTAACTTGGCCACAACTAAAGGCTCCACGCCCCAGGGAGGAAACTGACTGAAGAGGCGTCCCTGCTCACTAACACCTCAAACCATCAATTAGCATTAACAAGAGAGAAGGCTCCTCATGGCCTAAAGACCCCCAGTGGGGTACAGGTGGAGCAGAAGCCCCGCCCCATGACTCAGGAGGCTAAAGGGCTTGGATCTATCTGAAAGTCCAGAGTGTGTCCAGATGGCCAGTGGCAGCAGAAAAGTCACCATCCAGCTGGTGGAGGACGGGACCGAGGCTGGAACCCGGGGCCCACAGCTCTTCAAGGGCCAGAGCTATGATGCCATCCGAGCAGCCTGCCTGGATTCGGGAATCCTGTTCCGTGACCCTTGCTTCCCGGCTGGCCCTGATGCCCTTGGCTACGACAAGCTGGGGCCCAACTCAGAGAAGGCCAAAGGGGTGGAATGGAAGCGGCCCCATGTAAAGTGGAGCGGGGCTGGGTCCTAGGTCTGAGGGAGGAGGGATGGGACCTGGGTCCTCACGTTTGAGGGATGAGGGCCAAGCTTGTCTCCTAGGTCTGAGGGAGGAGGGCTGGGTCTGGACCCTGGGTCTGAGGGAGGAGGGCTGGGGGGTCTGGATCCTTGGGTCTGAAGGAGGAGTGCTGGGGTCTGGACCCCTGGGTCTGAGGGAGGAGGGCTGGGTCTGGACCCCTGGTTTAGAGGGGAAGGGCTCACGGTCTGGACCCCTGGGTCTGAGGGAAGAGGGCTGAGACCTGGACTCGGGTCTGAGGGAGGAGGGTTACGGCCCAGGTGTGAGGGAGGAAGGCTGGGGTCTGGATCCCTCCCTCTGAGAGAGAAGAACTGGGGCCTGGTTTGAGGCAGGCTCAGCCAGAGGGGTTCAAAGGGCCCAGGGAAGCCAAGCTCCTGCCCACAGGCCTTTCTGGGGTTGGAGGCTCTCATTACCTGGGTATCTTCCTGGTGGCCTGGACCCGAGCCGTTCTTTCCATTTCCTCCGAACTCCCCTTTCTTGGGTTCACTGGAACCTCCTCTTCTCCCAGGAATTTTGTGCTGAGCCCCAGTTCATCTGTGAAGATATGAGTCGAACAGACGTGTGCCAGGGAAGCCTGGGTGAGCCCCTGTGCCTATCTTGAGTCCTTAGACTCAGGACTCTGACATTGTTATACCTCTGTCCCCTCTCCTCAGCTTTCCCAGTCCACCTCCCTTGGTCCCTTCTTGCCTAATTCGGGCCTCTCCTCCTAGGGAACTGCTGGTTTCTTGCAGCTGCTGCCTCCCTTACATTGTACCCTCGACTCCTGAACCGCGTGGTGCCTCCTGGACAGGGTTTTCAAGATGGTTATGCAGGCATCTTTCATTTCCAGGTAGAGCTCAGTTTCTCTCTCCATGCCTCAGTTTCCCCCACGGTGGCATGATGACATAGACTTCCCTTGAGGGTTTAGATTCTTGGACTTGAGTAGGTAGAGTCCAGGGTGGGAGATGGGGCTCAGGCAGGGTCTGGAAGCTAACCCTGGTCCTGCTGTTTCTCCCACCAGCTCTGGCAGTTTGGCCGCTGGGTAGATGTGGTGGTAGATGACAAACTGCCTGTGCGTGAGGGGAAGCTGATGTTCGTGCGCTCAGAACAGAGGAACGAGTTCTGGGCCTCACTGCTAGAAAAGGCCTATGCCAAGTGAGCACCCTGTCCTCCCAGCTGAGCCCCAAGACTCAGGAGCAGACCCCAAGCCAGTGAAGCCCCTGATATCTGGGGTTCTTCCAACCAAAGACCCTAAATCCAGTCACAATTTCTAGAACCCTAATATCACAGCATCCTCTTAGAACTTTCATTTGGAGATTTTGTTTTATATTTCATTGAGAGAGGGTCTCATGTAACCCTTCCTGCCCTGGAATTCAGTATGTAGCCAAGGATGACCTTGAACTTTCCATCTTCCTACTTCCAGCCCAAGAGTACTGGGATTATAGGTGTGAACCACCATACCAGGTTTATATAGTGCTAGGGATGGAACCTGGGGCTTTGGGGCTTTGGGTATACTAATCAAGCGCTCTGCCAACTGAACTATATCCCCAGTCTTCCTTCCTTCCTCTCTCTCCCTCCCTCCCTCCCTCCCTCCCCCCCTCTCCCTCTCTCTCTCTGTCTCTCTTTCTTGACAGTATCTCATTATGTATGTAGCCCAGGCTGGCTTTGAACTCATAGTCCTCCTTTGTCACCCTCCTGAGTTACAGGTGTGCACCACAACCCTGACTACATTTAGGAGAGGCACGTGTGTATACTGCAGATGGAATCCAGGGCCTTGTGCATGTCATGCTAGTGCTCTACCCCTGAGTCATACTCCTAGTCCCTCACTGGGGGATCCTAGGCAAGTGCTCTACCACTGAGCCATGCCCGCCCCCAGATCCTCACTGGAGGATTCTAGATAGGTGCTCTACTCCTAAGTCATGCTTATAACCTGTGAGCCTTCACATCTTAAATACCCCCTCTTTTGCCATTTTTCACAATCCCAAACCTCACTGATCACCCATAATTCCTAAGGATCCTGGGTTACAGCCCCCAGATCCAGGGGCCTGTGATGCTCCTATGTGCCTCAGACCCTACCCCCACTTGCTCCCACAGGCTCCATGGCTCCTACGAGGTGATGCGAGGGGGCCACATGAACGAGGCTTTTGTGGACTTCACAGGCGGTGTGGGTGAGGTGCTTTACCTGAGAGGAAACAGTCCGGGCCTCTTCTCTGCCCTTCGCCATGCACTGGCCAAGGAGTCCCTTGTGGGTGCCACTGCCTTGGTGAGGACTGGGGGCTCCCATGTGGACCCACACTGAGACTAGTGTCCAGTCAGGGCTGTACTTACGTCCTTCTCAGACTCTGCTGCTGCTCCCAGCTCCTCACTGGTGGATTCTAAGTCAAGGCTCTACTGATAAGCTACATCCCTAGCCACCCCCTCCCACATACACTTTTTTTTGAGCTAGGTCTCTGTATATAGACCTGGTTGGCTTAGAATTCAGAGACCCACCTGCCTCTGCCTCCTGAGTGCTGGGCTGAGGCATGCATCACTACGTCCACTTTCCAGCCCTCTTTTTACATTTTATTTTGAGGCAGGGTCTCACTAAGTTCCCCGGCTGATCTTGAGCATATTCTGTATCCCAGGGTGACCTTGAACTTGTGATCCTTCTGCCTCAGCCTCTCAAGTAACTGGGGTTACAGGCCTATGCCACCAGGCCCAGGCTTGGATTCTTACTCCTCAGCTTAGACATGCTCTCTGAGCCCCTTTGGTATTTTGTGCTGAGCTTGGTTGGTTCCCACTTTGGAGGCAAGAGACTGGGATGGAGAAATGGGAGAACAGCTGACCTCTCTCCTACTCCAGCCTCACAATCCTGTTCTCTGTCCAGAGTGATCAGGGTGAGATCCGCACAGAAGAAGGCTTGGTGAAAGGACATGCGTATTCGGTCACTGGCACGCACAAGGTGAGCTGTCCCTATGGCTGGGCTGGCTGGAGGTATCCCTATACCACCCTCATTGATGATGCTTGTCTCCAGGTGTCTCTAGGCTTCACCAGGGTGCGGTTGCTGCGGCTGAGGAACCCCTGGGGCCGTATAGAGTGGTCTGGGCCGTGGAGCGACAGGTGGGATGGGCCTGGGGTGGGTGGGGGCTCACCCATACGTACCCATCTTATACTGGTCTCTCTAGCTGCCCTCGCTGGGATTTACTCCCCTCTGAGTGGCGAGATGCCCTGCTGGTGAAAAAGGAGGATGGGGAGTTCTGGTGAGTTCTCTACCTCTGGGAGGGCCCCTGGATCACGGACCTCCAGGACAGGGTGGGTGGGGACACAGAAAAAGCCTGTGAGATGGATCATGATGGAGAGCTGTCCTTACCAGCTGTAATTTGGGGAGAGGGTTCTACTTTACTAAATCAGGGCGATAGTATTTGTAAGCTGGGCTATTAAGGGAATTATTTTTGGAAGGGGAATATTGAGACCAGGTTGGCCTGGAACTCACTGTGTAGACCAGGCTGGTCTCAAACTCATGGCACTCCTCCAACCTCAGTTTCCCAAATGCTCACTGATGTGAGCCACCACACTCAGCTTATTTATTTTTTGGTTTTTTGAGACAGGGTCTCCCTGTAGCTCCAGCTGACCTAGAACTCATTATGTAGACCAGGCTGGCCTCAAACTCACAGAGAGCCACCTGCCTCTGCCTCCCAAGTGCTGGGATTAAAGGCATATGCCATCACACCCGGCTCACGCTCCCTCAGCTTATTAAAGGAATTTGGAAGCAATAATTTTGGGAGATTAAAAGATGATGGGTCATACTTAGGGTGATCTCTGTAGGCTTGGTGTGACATTTGGGGCTTTAAAAAATACCATTTTAAACTCTTTTTTCTAATTTGACATTCATGTGTCTATGTGTTTGCGCACAAGCAAGTGTGCCACAGTGTAAGTGTGGAGGTCAGAGGAGACAACTTTCAGGAGTCAGTTGTCTCCTTTTGCTGTGGGATACAGGGATTGAACCCAAGTAGTCAGGCTTTTACCCACTATGCCATCTTGCCAGTCCCTTATCTGGTGATTTCCTAAAGTCAGTCTGATGATATTTGAGGGGAGTTTGTGATCGTCTGAGATGTGGGATATTTGTGAGGCCTCAGAGACACTGGAGGCTCAGGAGTTTCTGATCATTGGGTATTTGGCAGTATTTAAGGAACTGGGGGCCACTTCTGAGGTCTTGAGCTGCTTGGGCCCCGGGATGGCCAGGCACCACTCACGGTTCTCCCTGTACAGGATGGAACTGCAAGACTTTCTCTCACACTTCAACACGGTCCAGATCTGCTCGCTGAGCCCGGAGGTGTTGGGTCCCAGCCCCGCAGGCGGTGGCTGGCACATCAACATATTCCAGGGCCGCTGGGTGCGGGGCTTCAACTCCGGAGGGAGCCAGCCGAGTTCTGGTGAGGCCTGGAGCCCCCCTAAGAGGCAAGCTGGGGTGGGGTCTGCGGCAGTGGGAACCCCATCGTCTTTTCTTCTGTTAGAAAACTTCTGGACCAATCCTCAGTTCCGGCTGACGCTGTTGGAGCCTGATGAGGAAGAGGATGAAGACGAGGAAGATGGGCCCGGGGGAGGCTGGGGAGCGGCAGGGACCAGGGGCCCAGTGAGGAGAGGCCGTGTCCCCAAGTGCACGGTCCTCCTGTCTCTCATCCAGCGCAACCGGCGGTGTCTGAGGGCCAAGGGCCTCACTTACCTCACTGTGGGCTTCCACGTGTTCCAGGTAAGGGCGGGATCAAGGTGAGTTCTGGTGGAGCAGTGGGCCGTGGAGGCCTTGGAACTGGTCGGAGGGCCCTCGGAGGGGGTGGTCTAGAGACTGAGTCATTCTGAAAGAATTAGAGGGGTTCAAGGACGGGACAGAAAGAAGGCAGGAGGGGACCAAGGGGGCAGAGAAGGAATGATGGACATACATAGGTGAGGGGAGGTTTTGGGAAGGGGTCAGAAATGGGGGAGGACTTAGGGCTGGAGAGTTGGCTCAGAGGCTAAGAGCACTGACTGCTCTTGCAGAGGACCTGGGTTTGGTCCCCAGCACCCACATGGCAGCTAACAACCATTTGTAACTCCAGTTCCGAGGGCTCCAATGCCCTCTTCTGGCCTCCTTAGGCATTGCACACACCACAAACCAGTGCACTTACATAACATGCAGGCACAATACTCATGTACACAAATTTCTTTTTTAAAAGTCCAGTGGCTAGCACTCGGGAGGCAGAGGCAGGTAGATCTCTGAGAGTTCAAGGGTCAACCTGGTCTACATAGTAAGTTCCAGGCCAGCTGGCGTTGCAGGGAGACCCTATCTCAAAACAAAACAAAACAAAACAAACAACAAAACAGCAAAACAAAACATCCAATGGAAGCACTAGAGAGATGATTCAGCAGTTAAGAGCTCTGACTGCTCTTGCAGAGGACCCGGGTTCGATTCCCTGCACCTACATGGCCGCTAACCATAACTCCAGTTCCAGGGTATCTGATGCCCTCTTCTGACTTCCGCAGGCATTGCACACATGGGTGCATTTACACATATGCCGGCAATACACTCTTACACATAGAATAATAATAATAATAAAAGTCCAGTGGGAGTGAGCAAAAGGGAACTGTGAGGGATGGAGGGGCAGGGAGGGGACTCTGGGAGGTGGCACTTCCTTGACTCCACTCCCTTTATTTTTCCTTTTGGCAGATTCCGGAGGAGGTGGGTTTCAGATGGGGCCCCAGACCCTGGACCAGCCCCAGGACTTGGTCCACCTGCGCTGGACGGGCCAAGTCTGGGTCCGGGATTAGGGGATCCGGGCGGGCCGGGCCAGACGGTCTGGTTTTTGTGTGGTGAACCCTGGGGATGGGTGGGTGGGTGGAGCCTCAGGGGCAGCTGGTGGTCTTGCCGCCCCGCTTGCAGCTACTGGGCCTCTGGGACTCGCCGCGCAGCCGCGAGCTCTTACCTGGGCTGCTGCGCGCCGACCGTTCGGTTTTCTGCGCCCGCCGCGACGTGAGCCGCCGCTGTCGTCTGCCACCTGGCCACTACCTGGTGGTACCGAGCGCCTCCCGCGTGGGCGATGAGGCCGACTTCACGCTGCGCATCTTCTCCGAGCGCAGCCACACTGCAGTGTGAGCGAAGACACCCCCTAACCTTTCTTCCAGCACCCCGTCCTGGCCCAGGGACCCCATCAAATTCCTTAATCTCAGGCCCCGCCCCCGGACCGTTTAGCTTGTTTAGGATTTGAGGCTCCGCCCGGGCATCCATCCCGCCTCCTCCGCATCTGTGGACCCGCCCCTGGCACCAAGCCCCGCCCCAGGACCACAAAGCCACGCCCAGCCAGGCTCTCTGTTCCCACCCAATCCTCCGCTGATACCCCCATTCTGTAATTCGCAGAGAGATCGATGACGTGATCAGCGCCAACCTGGATGCCCTCACGGTGCGGAGTAGTTGTGGGAAGGAACAAGACGCTGGTGGGAGGGCTTTGGGACAGGACTGACCTCTGCTACCCCACAGATTCCCTATAAGCCCCTGGAGCTGGAGCTGGCACAGCTGTTTCTGGAACTGGCTGACGAGGTGAGGACCGATCAGGGACTGGTGGTGTCTCTCTAGATGAGACTAAGCCCCTCCCTAACACTAGGTATCTTTAAAAAAAAAGAAAAAAGGTAGCCCAGGCTCTCCTGGAACTGCTATGTAGCCTGTAGCCCAGGCTGGCCTTGAATTCCTGATGGTCTTCCTGCTTCAGGTTACCCAGTTGGTGGGGTTATGGGCCTGAGCCATGGATTTTGGGTGTCTCTTGCTTTACTTTTGTTTGGGGACTCTCACAGATCTCTCTTGCCTGAGGGCCTTTACTCAGTCTGCTCCCTCTGCCCACACCTGCTCCCCTTCCCAGGCTCAGCCATCTTTCCCAAGTCCCCTCCTCTGAAGTCTGTCACCCACCCATTGTGGGCTCTCACAGCTAGTGCTTCTATCGTTGCCCTGTCCACTCTGGGGACAAGACGCATCTCCTCTAGCTGAACCCTAAAAGACAAGCACTGAGGTGTCCCCAGCACTATGCTGCACAGGGACTGGCCCAGAGTGTTTGTTGAATGGCTGTGTGAGCCAATGGCCTCACCAGTGCCTCTTCCCTGACTAGGAGGAACAACTTGATGCTTTTCAGCTGCAGACCTTACTAAGCATTGCAAGGGAGCCTGGTGAGTTGGTTTGGGGTTCCTGCATACCCATAGAGCATGGTGTTGCAGGGGGTCAGGCCACAAGAACCAGAGCTCAGCTTGGAAGCAGCTCCCTACATGTGTTCTGGTTTCTTTCTCATTTGTAGCCAGGGCTAACACGAGGACTTCTGGAGAGATTGGGCTCAGGACTTGTGAGCAGCTTGTGCAGTATTTTGGGGTATATGGGGGCAGTGGCTGGGGAAGCAAGACAGGGATGTTGGGATCTGCCCTTCTGAAGGCCACTGGTTGTAATCAAATGTCTCTACTTACAGTATGGACGAAGGTTGGCCCTATACCAGTTCCAGGAGCTCTGGAGCCACCTCCTGGTGTGGCAGGTGAGGTGGGGGCTAGGAGTGGCTATCTCCTTCTGGACCCTAAGGGTAGACTAGGCCTCTTTATGCCAATCTGGGAGTAAGCTGAATGAGCAGTCCCTTCCACTCCACTGTGGCCCCTCTGGGGATACTAAACAGTTCGGGGACTGACTGACTCAGCACAACCTCATGTCCCAGTTGGAATCACAGCCCTCATCTTTCCTTTGGGAAGACCTCAGGTCTGTCACCTCTCCTCCAAAGAGCCTTTGCTTGGCTGCAAATGGGTATTGGGAATTAGAGCCCTGCCAGGGAGGGGGAGGAAATGGTGGAAGATCCATGGAACTGACAATAGTGACAAGTCTGCTGTTGAGTCCTCACTAAGCCTTTGTGGGCTTGAATTTATAATTGAGGGCCTGGGAGCTTGCTGTCCTGTCCCAGATAGGTAACAGGTGCAGTGTCTGAGCTGTGGCCCAGCATCCTGGGCCAAGAGCAAGGGGAGCTGGGGCCTGAGCCTATCTGGCCTCAGAAGCCCCCTCTCAGCCATAAGGTACAGGGTAACTCAGGGGCCTGACATGTGACTGCACCTGTCCCCTGACACCCGCCCCCCCAGGCCACATTTGACAAGTTTGATGAAGATGCCTCTGGGACTATGAACTCCTGTGAGCTGAGGCTGGCGCTGAATGCAGCAGGTATAAATGGACACCTGGGGTAATTGTGGGGACAGGACCCACTCCCTCTTCTCCTAAGTGCCTCAGAGTCCTTCCTGTCTCCCTTGGCTCTGGCCATCCACACTGGCTGTCCACAAGGCTCAACTCTAGCTTCTTCTTATAGTGGCCTGGGGTACAGGATCCCCCTCTGAGCCTCTGCTTCCAGCTAGGACGTGACCAATGTGAAGGCTAATGCAAGGAGTCCACAGAATACCACTGCACAGCACTCATTCTCCAAAGCCACAGAATGTTCCAAAGAAAGGAGGTGATGGCTTTTGCTGAGGCTACTGCCTTACTGCAGAGGCACAACATTCTCATCAAGGCCCAGAGCTGCAGGGAATACTTGGCATGGAACCCTTGAAAGATTCTGGAAGATGGGCTGGGTTTGGTGCTTGCAACTGGCCTCACCTGCCACTGCCCAGTAGTGGGAGCCAGGAGCCAGGAGCCAGGAGAACTGATGAGTTGGGGAGAGTGAGGCTGCAAGTATGGGACCTAGGGAGGTGGCTGAGGGTCCAGGAACCTGTAAGATGGAGCCCAAGGCAGAAGGGGAAGAGATGGCAGCATAGCAGTTTGGATGGGAGTTCATCCCTCCACCCACCCACTCATTCATTCTGTGTCCTGAGTGCCCGGCACACGTCAGGGGTTGTAGGCAGAAGGAACAAAGGCTGTCAGCTCCTTCTTAGGTCCTTCTATCCCATCTGGCTAGGACTTCCTTCAGCCCTGGGTCCAGCATATCCCACCCTGATACCCAAAGACATGTTAAGATCAGAGGGACAGTGACCTGCCACAGGCCACTTGGCACTGAGCTTGGTGGGAAAATGGCACTTGGTATTTGTTGAATGAGAACACAGGTGCAGTGGAAGCTCACAGTGTCTTCAGGACTGTGTTTGGGGTGTGAAAATTGGGAGGACAGGGCCTCAGGCAGCTGTGGGTGAGATCCACGACTTGGAGCTTCTAGAAACCTGTGATTCTACAGCAGAGATGACAGATGTCTAGACTTTAGGCATGGCTTCTGAGAGGGGCACAAAGATGACATCCATTTGTGCCACACAGCAGTGTCCGCCAGTGCCCAGGACACGGACGACTGCCAACCTTTGAAGGAACAAGTACAAAGCCAGCTGAGCCTGGCGGGCACCATGACACCTCGTGAAATCAAGGCAGGAGGATGGCAAGTTCTAGGCAACTTAGTGAGAACCTGTGTCAACAAAACAAAACAAAACAACCACCAAGAGCTGGGCTTGGTGAAGCATGCCTTTAGTCCCAGCACTCGGGAGGCAGAGGCAGGTAATCTCTATGAGATGGAGGCCAGCCTGGTACTCATGGTGAGTTCCAGGTCAGCTGGGGTTTTTGGTCTCAAAAAGACCAAACAATAAAATAAGAGACTAGGGCCGGGCATAGTGGCACACGCCTTTAATCCTAGCGGATCCTCTGTGAGTTCGAGGCCAGCCTGGTCTACAGAGTAAATTCCAGGCAGCTGGAGCTACAGGGAGACCCTGTCTCAAAAAGACCAAAAAAAAAAAAAAAAAAAAAACAAAGAGACTAGGAATGTAGGTCAGTTGGTAGCATGCACAAGGCCCTCAGTTCAATACCCCACACCACATAAACCAGGCCTGGTAGCAGAGGCTTGAACTCCCACCATCCAGAAGGTGGAGGCTGAAGGATCAGGAGCTCAATATCATCCTTGACTACATAAAGAGTTAGAGGCCACATGTCTCATACAAAACACCACCAAGGGCTAGGGAGATGGCTTAGCAGGTAAAGCACTTGCATGTGCAAGCTTGGAGGTCAGAGTTCAGATCGCCAGCACCAAAGTACATCACACTGTGGCCCACCTGTAACCCTAGCACTTGGAAGGCAGAGAACAGGGACCCCTAGAGGAAGCTGGCTAGCTGGACTAGCCAAGTCAGTAAGCTCTGAGTTTCGGTGAGACCCTGACTCAATATATAAAGTCACACGACTGAGAAGACACCCCAAGTCAGCTTTTGGCCTCCACATGCACACATATGGATGTGCACTTGCCCACACATGCCAACATGCATAGACAATACCTGCCCAAAACCAGGGCCGTGGGATGCTTGTAAACATGACAATCCTCTTGATCCTCACACAGCCTCCCTGACCAGAGAAGTGCAGGGTCACAGAGCTGGAATGTGCACTCAGGCTTTCTGTGCAGATTGGGGGGCGGGGGACAACAGTATCGACATTGACATCAGGGGGTATGGTGCTGAGGTATCAAAGGCAGCCTCCTCCTAGGCTTCCACCTGAACAACCAGCTGACCCAGGCCCTCACTAGCTGCTACCGTGATAGCCGGCTACGTGTGGACTTTGAGCGCTTCGTGTCCTGCGCAGCCCGGCTCACCTGCATCTTCCGTGAGTGCCATTCCTGGCTGGGCAGGGTGCAGGGGTGTGCCCTTCTGGGCTGGTGCTGGGTATTCACCCTGCCCCTCTCATATACAGGCCACTGCAGCCAGCACCTGGATGGGGGTGAGGGTATGGTGTGCCTGACCCACAAGCAGGTGAGCTGGGCAAAGGGGACGGTGGCTCCAGCACCACCCTGAGCCCTCTGCCTCAAAGCGGCCTTTTCCTTCTGTCCAGTGGTCGGAGGTGGCCACCTTCTCCTAGATGGGCAGTCAGGGGAAGCCAGCCTGCTCCAGCCCTGCGTTTCCCTGCTGTGGATGAACAAGTGCTTGCCTGGGGCCCAGTCCATTTGTGTTTTCCTGTCCTCACTCCTGACCTGCACATAGTGGTGGCAATGACACCTTCCTTCTTTTGAAAAAAAAAAAAAAAACAAAAAAAACAACAACACAGGGCCTAGCTATGTAGCCACAGGAGTCCTCCTGCCTCTGCCTCCCAAATGCTGGGATTATAAACCTGAGGCACCATGCCTGGCATTGCTTTCCTGTCCTTTGGAGCACAGGGCCCAGCGGGCCTCAAATGCCCTAGAGAGCTGAACAATGGTGGCAGAAGAAAAAGAGGACACTGGAACTCATCTTAAAAATATTACATGTTTTATTCTCCCGTCCCCAGAGGGTGGTTTATCCAGCCAACAGTCAAAAAAAAAAAAAAAAAAAAAAAAAAAAAAAAAATCAGAATAAACTCAAAAAAAGAGGGGGACGGAGCACAAACCCATCAACTATCAGGCAGGCAGGCCAGCAGCCCACCTCCACCTCAGGAGGTCCCCAGAGACTCCTGCCCGACGCAAACAAGAGGAAAATCAAGAGGGGGCTGGGAGGGCAGCGAATCAGCTATGTCTTCATTATGAGAGCAAGGGAGGTGGCAGATATGCTGCTAGAGGGATATATATTTATATAATAAATCCGTAAGTTAATAAAGTAAATAGTAATTCTCTGGAAGTTTTTGATTTTTTAT